GGAAAATATATATAAAAAAAAAAAAAAAATTAAATTAAATATTATCCATCTTCCATCTTTCTCTTAGGCAACCACATCTACCGCCCGTTTATTTTCTGACGTAGGTGAATAATAATAATAATAATAATAATAATTGAGAAATTATTAAACTACCGGGAATTATATAAAAATAATATTTATGCTAATTAACATTATTACATTTTCCGCGCGCGAGAGAAAATTCACATTTCAAACCGTTTATTTATTTATTTAATTTATTTATTTTAAAAAAAAAAAACGTAGTCACGTGACAAACGAAATTTAAGTAACGAAACTACATATATATATATATACCAACGGAATGTAAATTATTAATTTGAAGAAATTTAAACGATTCGCGTGAAAATTTAAACGACGATCCGCGACCGCGATTTATTTTTTAAAAAAAATTCGCCGGATTTAAAAAACTCGCGTTCGTTTTAAAATAACAAAAAAATCGAAAATAAAAAATCGCGAAAAAAAAAAAAACTCTATTACGATGCGGCAATTTAAAGACTGAATGAGAGAAGAAGCAGACGACGACGAACGTCGGCATCGTGACTTTCAATGAAATTTTTTTTTTTTTTTTTTAAGGACTTCCTTAACGTTGTTGGCTTTACCGTAGATGTCGCCACGTTATGAGGTTTTTATTTTCGCTACAACAGAATGAAAAATTTTGCATGCTCCCCAAAAATAAAAATTCATTTCAACACCGAACAAAAAAAAGAAAAGTCAATAATTCTTTTTTCCTTTCCTTTCTTTACGTGGGTCAATAAAACCTTGAAAATTTTTCCCGAACCTGTTTTTTTTTTTTTTTTTTTTTTTTCAGGGGCGAATTTTTGTAAATGTTAACAACCATTACGGTGAATCGAATGCATTTATTTATACAACAAAACTCATTTTTTCAGTAAAAAAAAAAAAAAAAAAAAAAATATTTGGTCCATTTTCAATTTGAAAAAAAAAAATAAAAAAATAAAAAATTGCATTTACGTAAAACTCATCGTGAAAAAAAAAAAAAAATTTTAGTATATACACTTACTTAAAGGAAAAAATCTGGCAAAATGGGGTAAAAAATCAAGCCAAAATTTCAATTTGCACCTGTTAAGAAAGCCTCATTTTGGAATTTCGCCTTTCGACCATTTAAAAAAAAAATAATAATAATAATTATTAATATTACCTTCTGATTTCTCATCGCAATACGAATTTTTCCCTTTTTCCAAATTCATAACATTCATTTTTAAATAAAATGAATCGATTGTAATTTCCTTCGAATCCATTTTTATTTTTTTTTATTTTTTTTTTGTGAAAACATTCACTCGAAATAAAACAAAAACGAAAAAATCCGATTATTATTATTATTATTATTATTATTATTATGTATTATGGACAACTGTTTTCCTCCATATTAAAAAAATCATTAAAGGAAGGAAACCGATTCTCGATTTATTACTACCCATCCATCGCTAAAATTCAAATCGTTATTATCATACGACGCGGAACTTGCTATTAAATTATTTGTGACGAAATTATTTCCTTTCAAAATTTTCTACGGTCAATAAAAAAAACAATATATTGTTGGCACAAAACAACAACAACAACAACAACAACAACCGTACGTATTGAAACACCTTGAAACCGCGCACACCAAACCACTGCATCACATGTTTTTTTTAAACGGTACCTAAACCTCTTTCACATGAAAAATTATAATAATAATAATACGTATGAAATTTTTCATACAATGAAAAAGTTTCAAATTAAAATTCGAATACAAACGAAAACAACAACAGAACAACAACAACAACAAAACAAATAATAATAATAATATTCAATTTTCGATCTGGAAAATTTACATTACGATTCAATATGGAGTGTGTCGCCAAATACACACCAACCACTCACAAAGAACAACTCTACAAGACTACGAGATTAAAATTTCAGGTTTTTTTTTTTCGCAGTTCAAAGGTGGTACGGGTATTTCTTACGATTGGATTTATACCGTTTATACAACGAGTATCAAAGGACAGGGTACCAGTTTTTTTTTTTTTTTTCCTTTCGTTCGTTTCGTTTCGTTATCATTATTACTAGTTAATAATTTTTTTTTAAATTAATTACTTACTGAAATAATTTAGTGTCTCGCGGATTTGTTCCGGACTTAGAACGCTTTGTTTTTCCGGTTTTAATGCCGGAGCCGGTATGAACCAATCCTGATTTTCGTATCCCGTGAATTGCGTCAGAGTATCCGCTCTCAGTTTATACCTTGGTATCTGCTCTTCGAGTAAGCTAATTATTTCTACTTCTGGAATTTCCTCTCCGCTGCACACTTCTGAAATATTTTTAAAAATCCTTTTTATTTTTTTATTTTAGAAATTGATAATTTCACCGACTGACAATAATAATAAGATAACAACACAATTATTTATTTATTTATTTATTTAATTAAAATAAAATAAAACAACAAAACTTCTTCAACTGTCGAAAATAATTTTTTTTTTTTTTTTAAAAACGTACTTGAACAAATGCCAATTGAAATCAGAAAAAAAAAATAATAATAATAATAATAATAATTAAGGAAAAAACTTTTTTTTTTACGTGTACATATTTTTATATATATGTATAAGTACTTTATGAAGTCAAAATCAAATTAAAATTTATGACTCGTAAATAATAATAATAATAATAATATTAGTGAAATATTCGATTTCAAGTACGAGTCGAACAGTCCAGTAAAAAAAAAAAAAAATTTTGAAACGCAAATTATTATAATTAAAATAATAATAAATTTTATAACTCCATCATCACTATTATCACACGGTTTTCATCACATTATCATCATCATCATTATTAAATTAAAACATTAAAGAGTTTTTTAAAATCAATTAATTTTTCAATAATCTCATCATTTTAAAAGTAAAGGATTGATTATATAAAAAAACCTAATCACATGAAAATTTAACAACTACTTAGGTACTTCTTCAGCAACCTTTTGACAAAAGTAAAAAAGTTAATTTAGAAAAAGAAAAATGCGACATCACATCATTGATCATCATCATCATCACATCACAATCAACACAACGATTTTCCTCTTCTCTTCGTTCACGCTTAAAATATTCACAAAAATTTAACAAAAAAACAAGAAATTATAAAACGCGATACAAATCACGACTGATTATGTTTACAAAAACGATCAATAAAACAAGACAAAAAGAAAAAAACAGGCAGTAACTCGTATGACAAATCGTAAAGTAAATTTTAGACAACTACACGATATAATACATACATATAAGTTAAAACGTTTGTCTGTTTGTGTTTGTTGTTATGTACAAAACCCATGCAAAATGAACCGTGAAATTATTATTGTATTAAACTCACACACACACACACACACACAATTCAAAATAACAATGCTCGATCTCAATTATTATTATTATTATTATTATTTTTTTAATTCGAAACGTTTTGAATGGGAAATAAATATGAGTTTAACCTTACCAACAATGTAAAGTTAATATTACAACTATTTTTTTTTTCTTTTTTTATTTTTTTAAACACAAAAACCCATTTAGTTGATGTTATTTAGTTGTGTTTACAAAAAAAAAAATATATATCTTCGGCTTCATTTAATTATTTGAAATTTAAAAACTAGAATGTTCGGAATATAACGTCCTTCTAAAAAAAAAAAAAAAAAAAAAAACACTCAGTTTAAATTAAACGGTTAAAACTTAAAAAAAAAAAAAAAAAGAAAAACGACAGCATTCAAAGTCCATTCGAGATATGGTAGTAAGCTATGCATAAAATTTAACGGAATTAACAACAACAACAACAACAAACTCCAAGGTTATTTTTCATTTAGAAAATTAATAACAAAATTCGGAAAACTCATTCGTGGCATTTTTATTTTTCGCAATTACTATTATTATTATTATTATTATTATTTCGAAAATTGTCTATTTACCTTCGTGCCAAGCGGCTAATATGTCATCTTTTTTTTCATCATTTTTTCTAGAATGCCGACGAAGTCGTGGCCTCCTATCATCATCCGCCGACCATGGGAACATCACATTAAACGTTCGATTATATACGTTAAAAAAAAAAAACAAACCGAAATTAAATGACACCGAAGGGATTCCCCCCTTTTTTCTCCGAGAAAAAAAAATTATTTTTCGTAATGTAAAATCGTCATTCGTCCGCGAGTAAAACGTTTCGTATAATAATAATAATAATAATAATAAAAATTTTCACCAATCTTTTATGTATTTATTATATATATATATACGGAAAAAAATTTCTAAAGAAATCATTTTGTATTAAAATCAGATAGATAGATACGTAATGCACAAAAACACAACAAACAACCTTTATAAAAACAACAACAAAACACAATTTCCTATCTAAAATCAACAATAAACACAATCACAACAAACGTTTAACACATTTTGGGGGGGCGGGGGGTTCATTTCGAAAACCCTGGTTGTTGTTGTTTTCTAAAAACCTTTTAGAAAACGATTTGCACACTTTACACGATATGTACATATAAAATTATGATTGCGACATGATGATTTATAAAAATTTAAATTCAAATTATACCTAAATTAAAAATTACCAATTATTATCATCATTATTATTCCTTTTTTTCAAAGTTATTTAAAGTTAAGACTACTAGAATAAAAAAATTTAATTGAAAATGACACACAATTTTTTAAACAAAAAAATTTTTCTTTTTTTTTAAACGATTACACACACTTTATCCTGCAAATGAAACGAAATGAAATTTTCTTTTTTTCTCACTGTTTTATGAAAAAAAAATTTAAATAAAAAAAATTCTTTTTGCTACGAATACATCGAGGCTAAAAGAAAAATAGAAAAAAAAAAAAAAAAATATTAAAGGTCGTGATTTTGTGAAAACGACGCCCACGCCCACTTTTTTGAAATGAAAATTTTTGGTTTTAGCAAATATCCAAATGGCTGTAAATTTAATTTATTTCCTCGCTAGAAATTATTAAATTAATTAAATATATATTTTTTGAAAGTGATCTACATTTCGTTTGGACGTAATTCGAAAAAAAAAAAAAAAAAATTACAAAATGTTATTAAAGGAAATAAATAAATTTTCATGGAAACGAAAATCGAACTTAATTAAAACATATTTCAATTTAAATAGATGAAAAAGTGTAAAATAACCAAGTGAAGGAAATCCTCTCTCCTCCCCCTTCCCTCCCCTCCACCCCCTTCGAAAAAAAAAACTACTTTCGACATAAATTTTTCTTTGTAAATTCAACTTTCCTTAGCAAAAAAAAAAAAAAAAAAAAAGTAAAATTTAATAAATAAATAAATTCTCCTTTCTTCCTTCCTTTCTTTCTTTCTTTCCCCCCCCTTTTTTTTTTTTTTATTAAACAAGGCGGTGAATTAAATTATTATTATTATTATTATTTTAATTAATAAATATTCACTTTTATTAAGTTTATCAACCTTTGACAACTTTTCACCTTATATAACAAACACTTCAATAACAAGTTTAAAAAAAAATAAAACGGGGGATATAGATAGTGTTAATACGCTAAACAATTTTAAAAACTTTTTCAATTTTCCTCCCCTATCTCCCCCCACCCCCCACCTATTTCGAACATAAAATTTTCACGTAATGTATTTAAATACGTACATTCGTTCCAATACGTACAGAATAAAAAAAAAAAAAAAAAAAAAAATGGAAAATTATATAACAATAAATACTATTATTGTATTTTTATTTTGCCAGATGATATAAATTTTGTCTCTCATTATATAAATGCTAATTTTTTTCTTTTTTTCTTTTTTTTTTTTTTTATGGCTTGTTTTACACAATAGAGTTTTATACTAACTCGATATAAATTTAAAAAAAATTGGGAGAAAACAATAAAAAAAAAAAAAAAAAAATTGGCGCGAAAATAATCAAAACATTTAGAAAAATTCTTTAATATGAATTTTAAATAATTTTTTGAACGGGGGAGAGGGGAGGGGGTTTGTTTAAACCATTAAAACTTAAAACAAAATTAATCAATTAAAAATAATAAACTAATTACGAAAAAAATTCATTCATTCATTCATTCATTCATTCATTGAAAACCTCTAAAAAAATAATTTTTAAAAATTTACCCAACTAAACTATATAAAACATAAATTTTTTTTAAATGTGAAACCACACACTACATTTTTTTTTATAATAATCATAAAAATTTAAACGTGGCGAAAAATAATTAATAATAATAATAATAATAATAATAATAATAATAATAATAATAATAATAATAATATTTACAAAAAAAAATATTCACTTTTTATACAATTAATAAAATTATTAATAATCGCTAATATAACAGTAGCTTGTTCGACCTGAACACGAAAAACAATAAATTGATTTGATTTATAAAAACGAAATACACCCGCCATTAAAAAAAAAAAAAAAAAAAAAAAAAAAAAAAAAAAAAGTGCAACATTCAATTAAAAAACAAAAATTTTAAAAATAACGTTGGCGTCTATTGGATAATATCCAAAAGTGTTAAACTGTGGCAAAGGTAGTAGTAGTAGTGTTAACAATTTTGGGAATACAATTTCAAACATAAAAAAAAAAAAAAAAACAATTCATTACTTTTTCCCAAATTATCCCAAATTATTAATTAAAAAAAAAAAAAAAATGTTTGTGATGTAATAATGACTATTAAGTTATTATTATTATTATATTTTGCATATATACTCGAATCAAAATTAAATTGGGGCAATTTGGTTTTTTTTTTTTTTTGGAAAAAACCAAAGTCAAATTTATCAAAAATAAGTTTACTACCCCCTGTTGAGAACACACCTTCTTGTTTTGGTTTATTCTTGTCTTATTGAAAATTATTTTATTGGCAAAACAACACAAAATATGTCATAGATTATAAAATGGAGGAAACATGCAAGATAAACATAATAATATTTTTTTGTATTTTTTTGCAAAACATTCTCGACCAAAAATGAATTGTTTTGTAAACATAATGATAAATAATTTTTAAAAAAAGACTATCTAACAATAGATAGTTTTAATTAGTTTTATGAAAAAAAAAACCCTAAAACAAAATATTATCAAAATTAAATTTTCAAATTTAACCTTTTTAAAATATTATTTTTATTATTTTATATATATATAAAATAATAAAAATAATACTTTGTTTACACAAATATGATAAAGACAATACGGTTCAAAGTTTAATTGCTTTTAATGATGTCATTATTATTATTATTATTATTTTTTCCTCAATAAGAAAAAATTTTTATAAAATGTGCAAATAAAATTATTAATATGAGTCAATATATTTAAAACCTATTATTTAATGTCGTTTAAAGAAAAGAAAACTAACAAAACTCAAAAACAAATCGCAATGAAAGAGTTGAAGCTTGAAAAAACATGCGGAAAAATATTAATAAGTAATATATATATAAAATAATAATTGTGATGAATGTAAATCTGGTCATTTTCAAATTAAAATTTTCCCTATATAAAACACATGCCAAAAAAATAAAAACATATTATTTATATTATTTAAAAGCCTTGAAATAGAAATGAATAAATAAAATTTTGTTTTGCCAAAAAACAACATCATGTGACAGAAGACACATACGATACCTTTAAAAAAGTAAATTATAAATCCCCACAAAATTAGGTTTTTTAATAACCAATTTTACTCAATCACCCAAAAAATACCTGTTTAATATTATTAAAAATAAAATAAAAATTTTAAATTTAAAAACATACCTAAATATCTTAAGTAAAAAATTTAAAAAAAATGAAATAGAAACATTAATAATTTAGCATGTCAGACGACGACATTAAATACTATTTTCAAGTGTAACACAAATCGTTATACTTAAAATATGTAAGCGATAACTTTCAATCAATCAATTTCTAAAGAATAATTTAAAATAAATTATAAATTTCACTTTCAAAATTAAAATATGATTAAGGAAATAAGTTTTTTAAATTCTTTACTTACCAGTTAAAGTCGAAACGTCTTTGGATATTTCATAAATTTCAGATCCCCCAACTAAAATGCTGTTTCCGGGTACCGATGTTTGCGCTCTGGGTCTGTGGTGACCCAAATTCCCCTGGTTGGCCAGCTTGATAGCTGACTCTAACAGTTGTGGTATCTGATGAGCCTGAATAAAAAAAAAAAAAAAAAATTTAAATATTACAGAGTGTTGTGACCGAATAGTAATTTGGAATATAACAAATTAGATTGGGCTAATTTTCATTAATTAGATGGTTGATTATTACACTGTTACTTTTATTTAAAAGCATGGATTTCACAGCGACTAAATAATTGAAAAACTAAATGTCATTACTTTGCCCTACTACATTATTACATTATTTTATTTATTTTTATAACATGACAACTGCATACATTGTCAAAAATTTATTATATATAATTTCTGTTAAACTACAACAAAAGAAATTTAAAATTAAAAGTGAATACTGCAAAATAAAAAAAAAAAAAATTGTTTAGAGAATTAAATAAAAAACTGTCATTATTATTATTATTATAAAAAAAATAAATTAAATTTATTTTTGTAAATGACTCAGTAGGAGATCCACAGTTCTGGAGCTCCTGTATACGGTTACTTACGTAATCTATTGCTGAGTTGATTAAAAGACTTACTTGAGTAATAAGCAGCAGATGTTATTAAACGCTTTATAACTTGAGACAGCATTTACATATCCGAAAATCATGGGACAAATCTAACATCCAGTTTAATTTTTAAAAAAACCCGCAATCAGACATAAAATCGATGTGTATGACCTACATCAAAGCTTTTTTTAATTTATCAGCAACGGACGACCATATCATTTAAAAAAGGGTATATTATATAAAATTAAAAAAAATTATAAACGTTTAATTTTAATAATAATAAAATTTTTTATAAAAAAAAAAATAATATACGTACATAAATAAAATAAAATCTCCCTAATTAAATGATAAGTCCTAAAGTCAAAATTCAAAAAAATATATAACTGTTAAATTCACCATTTTAAAAAGCTGCCAACCCGAAAAAATTTAAAATGACATCATAGAGTCAAAAAAATTTACACAAAAAAAAAAATTTAAGCGGGAAAATTAAAAGATTTGCTGAGACGATATTAAACTATTATTATTATTATTATTATTAAAAACATTTATTTATTTTCAAAAAAGAAAAAATTAAATGAAATAATTTCAAGTTAATGATAATTTAAATTTTGCTATTAGATAAAAGAAAGTAAAAAAATACTTGCATTATCAGTATAAATTTTTCTCGTTTTTACCTTGTGATTTACTTATTTTATTTTTATTCTTTTAATATTTAATTTTTGTTAAAGTTTTATTTTTAAATTTACAAACTCCCCCCCCCGCCCCCACAAAAAATGACAAATTTAAAAAATATTAAATAGCTGAAGAATTAACTTTTGAAACGGATTATGATTAATCTTGCTTATAGCAAATTTCTCTCTAACAGTAGCAATTTATACACTCAACATGATGTACATTTCATTGTAGCCACCTGCTGCACAGTGAAATGTTTTGTTGGAGAAGTGATAAATAATGATAGAATAATCAGTGTCGTAACAATGTCTAAAGTTAGAGCTTTATATGATTTTTCCGCGGAACCGGGTTCTACGGAATTGTCTATATCTGCCGGTGATATATTAACTGTTACTAGACGGGATATCGGCGAAGGTTGGTTAGAAGGATCTAACAGTGATGGTAAAGTAGGCTTGTTCCCGGCGGCCTATGTTGAAGATTTAAATAGTGAACCGCCAAACATTCCGCCCCCTCCTTTTCCTTCTGCATTCGGTGCAGGAGAACCTAAATATGAGCAACCAAATTATATGTATTCCGAAGTTCCTGCTCAAGATTGGACAAATTCATCCGACTGGCAATCACAATCGGCTCAACCTGAATGGGATGACGGAGATGAAGAATGGGACGACGATTCTGAAACGGGCACCACCCATCCAGTGAGCCAAGGGCCAGCATCAGCTCATTTACAAATTTCAAAATCTATGAGTGGTTCAGATTTGGGTAGGGTTAATGTTGGGAAAAGTTTTAATAGATTTTCAACCTTTGTTAAATCTGGTAGTGAAAGTTACATTTTAGGAAATTTAAAAGTATCGGGAATAATTCAAGACAAAGACAAAATTGTTATATATGATACTAGTGAAGGAATAATGTGGGAACCCATCACAGAACCCTATTCTTGTATGATAGCATCACCCAAAAAAGAATCTAAATTAAGAGGATTAAAGAGTTTTATAGCATATCAGTTGACTCCGACATTTAATAAAATTCAAGTTTCTAGAAGGTATAAGCATTTCGATTGGCTTCACGAACGATTGGAAGAAAAATTTAGCATTATTCCAATACCCCCACTTCCAGATAAGCAAATATCTGGACGTTACGAAGAACAATTCATCGAGCACAGGAAAACTCAATTGCAAGCATTTGTTAATTGCGTTTGTAGGCATCCTATACTTTCACGTTCTAGTGTTTGGAATCATTTTATTACATGTACAGATGAGAAACAATGGAAATTAGGTAAAAGAAAAGCTGAAAGAGATGAATTAGTAGGTGCAAAATTTTTTTTAGCTTTGAATGCACCTGAAAAAGAACTGGAAACATTTATTGTAGAACAAGAAACAGAAGATTGTTCAAAATTTATAACAGCAATGGACACATCGATTAAAATATTATCCTCGACATCTTATGATCAGACGAAAAAATATCAGGGGTTATACAAAAAAGATTATGAAAAAATAGGTCAAGCTTTCCAGTCATTATCATATGCTTTCAGCTTGGATAAAACTCCTGGCAACCCGAGAATGAATTTAACAAATGCTATAACCACAACATCCGCCATTTATTTGGAAATAGGAAAAATGTTTGAGGACCAACCTAAAAACGACTGGGAACCGTTGGGAGATGTTTTACACATATACAAAGGCATCATTTCTTCATTTCCAGACATAATCAACGTTCACAGGAACACATTGAATAAACACAAGGAATGCGAAAGGTTGGCTCACGAAGCCAAAATGTCTCCATCAGAATTGAAAGATGTTAAAAAAAGAGCTGATGTTGTTTCATATGCACTCCTAGCTGAAATAAATCATTTTCACAATGAAAGAGCTGTCGATTTTAAAGGAGCCATGCAAAGTTTTCTAGCGGAACAAATTAAATTTTACCAAAACATTGTCGATAAATTAAATGTTGCTCTATCAGCCTACGACTAACACAATATAATAATCGATATATATTTATTATTATTAATATATTATTAATTATTATAATAATTTTTTTTTTTTTAACAACTTAAAGGAAATATTGTGAAACATGACTTTTATATTTGAATTAATTAATTGCTTTTATATTTAGGTGAAATTTGGGTGTTTAATATATTTATATATATATTTATCGAAATGAAAAATAAAAATAAATTTATTCTAAATAATGGGAAAAAAAAATATATTGCACTATATTTTATGTTATTTTTCACATAATAATAATAATAATCGATTAATGTATTGAAACCAAACAACAGCAACAGCAAAACTAAAAAAAATCTTTTTCTACATCAAATTAGCTTAAGCTTTTTTTTTTTTTCTAACCTGTTATCTGATCTCTGATTTATTATATATGTACAATAATAAACGGGCTTATAATAATGTTTCACACGTAATCATTTATCATAGGCAAAAAAAAAATAATAAAATTGATGAGTTATTATTTCATTATGTAATTTTTATTTTTTTTTTTAAAATAATAATAATGACACCATCAGTATTAAAGATCTAACAGTA